CTTTCATAGCTGCCAAAGGAATAAGTAACAGGTTGGCAGAGAGCATAATAAATTATTATAAAATGTACAATGTTTACCATAAGGATCATTTGTTTTAACCTCTGCTCTCTGTGCATGAAGCATCTTATGTAGCCTCTTTACTACCTAGTATACAGAAATAGTGTGTGGTTCCCTAAGTAGGAAATGATCTTATATTTATCAGTGCATATATTCGGGCCTCCAGAGTATATCCCACTCTCTGGTTCTTTTATGTTTGACTTTTTGAATTTCAAAAACTTCTAAGATTAAACAGGTAAAACAATTTGAAGTAAACTGGTCCATAGCATCTTGACTGATGATTAAAAAAAGAGTTGTACTCTCAAGGACTAAAAATCACATCATAAGGAAACAGAGCAAACTAGTCACACAAACATTTGAAGAGGCAGAACTTAAATGTCTGTTGAACACCTACTAGGAAATATATGAGATAAAAAGAATTGTAAAAATAAATGTTTGTCCTCAAGGGGCCTACAATCTACAGTTAATGTGCTTTAAGGATTTAAAGGAACTCTGAAAGACTTAAACAAAGGAAATTTATGTAAATTTTTTATTTGTTCTCCTCCTAAATATCAACTCGCCAAATTTCTCTTCAGTTTACCAGGAAATAAACCCTACATAACACAGTATGATCATTTACTAGTTATACTTCCACGGGAACAAAGCTCATCTCTGTAGTGAAAAGCAAGTTATTTAACCATTCAATACTTTAGTTACTTGTTTGGCTTGCCACCTTATGGGGTGTCACAAGGGCTAATAACATTTTATAGATTTTCTTATTCTTCCTCAACATAATTAGAATATAAAATACCACTTATAATTTATATAAACCAGGGATTGGCACCTAAGACCTCTAACCAAATATGGTACAGCAAGTAATTTAGAAAGGTACCACACAGCTGGCCGAAAACGAGACCAAGTTTCTGGCATCCCCCCATAACCTCCACCATCTGTCCCTCTTCCCTCTGTCATACATTTTCTCCTCTCTTAAGTGTTTGCCACATGTCTTCTAGTGCCTATCCTACGTTCCATTTTTGCCTTCAACTGGCAGTCACCCAATCTTTGCTACAGTGTTAGTGAATGATAGTTAAGTGGAAGAACAGAGGTATAATATTTACAACTAAGAACAGGAATTGGGTTGAAAGTGTAGGCAGGGTGTTTGGGTCTATGGAGTGCAGTTAGAGGGTTTTTGGTGGTAGGGGAGTCGGAAAGCCAAGAGTTTACCTCAGTACCCTTTCTCCAGATTTTGTTTTGTCATGATGAAACCACAGTTTATGGGGATATTATCTTCATGATAGTACTACACACTAGCCAATGCAATACTCGTAACAACCTTATGAAGTAGGTGTTAATGTTATAGCTATTTCATGAGAAGAAACTAATGAAAGAGGTTAAATACCTTAACCAAAATTACAGTCTACTAATTTACCAAGATTCAAACCTTGGTAATCTGGTTTACAGTCTGTGCCTTCAACACTATGTAAGAGTATCCTTACCCAGGATACATTGCAGCAGCTTTCTGAGACAGCCAATGAAGTTTTCCTGCCAACGCACAGGAGTAAAAAAGTCATAGCACATCACTTTTAAATGGCTCCTAACCTTGATGTGGAGCCCCCGTGCAGTGGTTAACAGCTCAGCTGCTAACCAAAAGGTTGGCAGTTTGAATCCACCAGCCACTGCTTCGAAACCCTATAGGGCAGTTCTACTCTGTCCTATAGGGTCACTATGAGTCGGAACTGATCTGATGGCAAGAGGTTTCGTTTTGGAACCTTGATATAACCAGATGAATAAAGACTACAAGAGAAAAATCACTCTTCATGTCAGTGATTGTTGTGTTTTAAAATTAAGATAAAAGTTATCTGTACTGAAATGTAACTGAATGGTTAAGAAGTTTTAAAATTGTAACTTCTTTTTTTGCTCAAAAATATGTATACACATAGCATGAAACAAGGAAAATGATACAGATAAAATGGCAGGATGTAGGTAGAATGGGAGAATACCTTCTGGCCCAGAGACAGGATAAAAAGAAGTATACTGGAGTGTTCTGAGAACATCAACATGGGTGGATGAACAGGCTACAGAAGTAGAGGAAAAAGTCCACAGAAGGAAAGCAGTACCAAGACAAGCACAGAGGACTCCAGGATTCTATGTGTCAGGCCTTCTCATAAATAAAAAAGAAACCCTGAAGCATTGATGATGATGCTAGGAAAGACCCGATTCTTACTTCTAATTATTAGAGTTTTTGCTAAAAGTGTTTAAAGCGACAATAATATTGAATAATCCAATACTGTGTTGATGCTAGTACTCCCCAATCTCTCATTCTCTAGTAAACTGTGACTTGCATGTAAGGTAGCCCACCAGGGAGGCAGTATAATATATAAGGGAGCGAGTAGGTGGGTGAGCAGGGGAGTAAGCAGAGGTGCCTAACAAATTACAGGATACATTAAGAGATTCTGAGTTAGACAGATCTGTGGTCATAGACTCAAAATCCTGCTGTCATGTCCCAGACGCACGCCTTGGATAAGGCATCTAACGCCTCAGCCTACTGATTTACAAAATGGGGATAAAGTTGCATGTGGATTAGACGAAAACTCCTAATGAAGGCAACTAGCTGTCACATAATAGATGCTTAATATATGCTGGTTTCCATCCTTCTTTCCCAGTAACGAGGTAAAAGAATAGAAGCCATCACCTACGAAGAACAAAAAAACCAGACTGAGTGTCACAAGACCAGATCCTGTTTGACACCCGAGTGGCAGAGATAACATAGAGGGACCAAGATATCCAAGAGCTGAGGTAGGAATGTTGGGGTGAGATGCTATTATTCTACTTTAATTTTATCCCTCACCAAGTGTCGCCATAAGAATTATTTTTCTTAAAGTATACTAAGCATTTTAATTTTCACAAAAATAAACACTCACAAATCTCAACTATTTACTTTGCAATAAAACAACTGGAATTATTTGAAAATCTCAATTTAACAAGGGCTCTGTTACCAATGCTTGAGAGTCTTCTTTAGACTTATCACTAATGCTTTCTTCATATTTTTTCAATAAGCAATTGGCAGGGGTTTTTTCCAGGTGACACACTTATACTCCTGATAGGAAGTATGTGACTAGTTAAGTTACAGAAAGTCTACAGATAGATCAGGAGTGTTTGTGCTGGAATAGTTGAATCTTTTCTTTCTCTTCCCTAAGTCAGTTTAGTAGAAGTTGGTCTCGAAAAGGGGGAGAAAAGTTCAAAAAAAAATGAACAAGCCAGCCTGAGGTCTGCCTTTTCTTTTCATTACTTATGTTTAGCGGTCTACTCAGTGTTGCCAGTGAACTGTCACTTCTTTTGTTTCCATACACCTTGTTCTGAGAACCAGATCCTTCATGATGTCAAGCCAAATGAAGAAGCGATCATTTTCTTCATAAACAAATGTGCTGGAATCATCTCTTCTCTTGGGGGAGAGGTGAGAAGGGAGAGGGTCCCACATTTTTTACTGCTTTGACTCTTGAAAACATGGGAAATTTGCAAAACCCTTGGAATTTTTGAAAATTCGACTTGCTGTACCTTTATAAAATTCACATGCCTCTATTTTGCTCACCCGCTTTTCTTGATTAGGAAAAAAAATATATCCATATTTTCCCAATTGTTCTCCTACAGGAATCGACCATACTTCCACCTTCTGAAGTTTTAAGTGGATCCATTCAAGTAATTTCCTTAACGCAATCCTCCTGGTAGAAGGCTTTTTTAAGCTCCTGAGATGTCAAATGCATGATCTGTAAGGTGGCATGCAGGGCAAAAAAAGCTGTTTCACATGACGGACCAGCCTAAAGGAAAAGGGAACTCTGACAATAGACTCATCACAGTCAATTCACCAATATCAGAAAACAAAAACAACCCATGACACTGGGAAAAAACAAATAGAAGAAAATAATCTTTGCCACAGGAACTAGGAAATAGTGTTTAAATAAAGAAAACTGCCTGTCTACTCCAATGTGAGACATTAAAAGATTTACTCCCTCAAATCTGCATTTGAATTTGATCTGTTTATAAGCAGAATGAAAGGAAAATAATGTTAGACAGAGAGGGAAGAATGAATGTTTATTGCATCTAACACCTATATACATGCATGAATGAAATTGGCTTTAAAAACTAAGTGTTTTTCCTCAATTTTTCTACTATGGATTTTTCAAGCCCCTTCTGATTTCCTACTTAATTTTTGGTCATCTTAAAATATTGCTCCTCTTCAAAATACAATTTCTAATATATTCATTTAATCCCATTTAAAAGACCATATAATCCCCCTTCCAAATTCGTAAGAGATTTTACTGAACTAAACAAAGTTCTGTTCCATTAGGCAACAAAGTGTAGGTCAGTAGGGACTGATTTAGAAAAAGATAAACCAGGAATAAACTATATAGTACTTATGTGCAAAATAAACAAAAACAAAATAAAACTCAAATAAACTAAAAGCTCAAATTGAAATTTAAGTTAAAAATTTCCTAAATGTACAATGTATAGTAAAGCAAAAGTTATAGCAAAGTCATAGAACTTTAGAACTGGTTTCAAAGAAGTCAACTTTAAATCTCCAGACCAGGTCAAGACTAATGTTATCTGGCTAATCTTCACAGTAACATAGGCAAAACACAAACCTGGCTAAGCACAAACACCATATGTAAAGGAAAACAAGATTGTTAGTATTAACTGCTGACTTCCCTAGCCCAATGAGAGGATATAGAGAATTTCCATATTAATTTACATTTTAAAATCTATATATTTACGCTGAGAAGTTAAGGTTTTCAAGTGTATGGCTTCTACAAACTAGTCTCTGTAGAGAGCAAGTAAACAATCAGTAGAAAGAGAAAAAAAAAACACAAGAAAGATAGTAACATGGCTGGCAGTACTGGCATTATGTTGACTGTGTCTCATAATCTCATTAAGATTTGGTATATTACATATTTGGATTTTATACTCACCTAAACCTTTTTGCCCGGGGTTCTTAGCAAAGGTAAAGGTAAACTGATAAAAATCTTTAAACTTCATTGTGTCCTTAAGCTCTTGTTCCAATCTTGGCAAAAGAGCTTTTAGCTTTTCTGTGCTATCACACCTGTCACAAGAAAGATAGTTATTTGTTACTTTTGGCAGACAAGCAGACACCTCTTCCCAGATCTATTTTTCCTTCTTCCATTAAGAATTTTAGCTGAGCACATGGCGCCATACCTGGAGACTACATTTCCCAGCTTCTCTAGCAACTTGGTATGGCCTCAGGCTATGTTCTCAGTAATAGAGAAGAAATTAGTGTGGGTTCTCTCTTGCTTAAAAAGAATTTCCAATGCTCTAAAACTGACTGGAGTGATAGCTGAACAGTGCTGTGAACATACTAGAAAACACTGAATTGTACACTTTAAATGGGTGAATTGTATACTATGTGAATTGTATCTCAGTAAAGCTGTTTAAAAATAAATAAACACGAAATCATTTGCTCTACTTTTCCGCACGCTGGAGTAACTGCAGCTTTAATCACAGGAAGGGAACAATGCCTTGAGGATGACAGAGTAACAAGATGGAAAGACCTCATTTTCTGAATGAGCTCATAAAATGGAGCCACGCTACCAGCCTGGCCTACTGCCTACCTCTGCACTATTACGGAAGAGAAAAATAAACTTATAGCTTATTTAAGCTACTGTATTTTGGGGTCTCGTCATTACAGTAGGCTAGCTTGTAGCCTAATACAGCTGTTGTTAGCTGCTATGGATTCAGCCCCAGACTCATGGCAACACCATGCTATTTAAAATATTAAAGTATTATAAAATACAGCTCTAATGTTTGAAAATTGGATTTTCTTCCAGAAAGTCAATAATCTTTAAAAATACAAAACAGCAGAAATCCAGATTAGTGATATATAAAACCTGTCTTTATTTCAACCATACATCAAGAAAGAAAATAAAAGCAACACTTTACTTATCCAAAGCTACTTGTCCAGTAGCTTTACCCAAGCAGAGCAGAATTAAGGAAAGAAATTTGGATAAAGCCTTGGAAAACATGCCTGAAAAGTACATACACATATAAATACAAAAGCACAAGTGTACAGCTTAAGGTCAGCATGAGTGTAACCACCACCCACATCAACGACTAGAATGCAACCAGCACCTCCGAAGTAGCCAATGTGCCCCCTTTTCCAATCACAACCCCCCTCTCCTCCACACAGAGGAATTTGACTAATCTGACTTTCGTGGTAACCACTTACTTGTAGTTCTCTATATTTTTATCACCTTAAATGAGCAGTCCTTAAGCGTGTAAGTTAGTTTTCCCTACTTTTGAACTATATATAAATGGAAACTCAGTTTGTATTATTTTGTGTCTTTGTTTTTTTGCCTATGTTTGGTATGTGCAGCTGTAGTTGGGTCCTTTTCATTGCCATATAGAATTCCATTATACTCATATTTCATAATGTATATATTCGAGTGATGATGTTTTGGCTGTTACTACTATTTTGGTTACAATTAATGTTGCTAAAAATGTTTCTGTACACATATCCTGGTGCACATGTGAATGCATTTATGTTAGAGTGGAATTTTTGGGTGCCAGAGAATCTGTATCTTCAATAAGTGATCTCAAAATAGTTTTCCAAAGTGATTGTACCAAGTTATATGCCCACCAGCAGTATGTTAGAGTTCTTGTTGCCCCATATTTTCACTAATATTTGCTATTATTTCTTATTTTAGCCATTCTAGAGACTTTGTTTTGTTGTGGGATATATTTCATTTGAGTTTTAATTTGCATTTCCCTGATAAGTGAAATTGAGTACTTTCTTATATTTTCACTGGCCATTTGGATACTCTTTATGAAGTGCTTGTTCAAGTCTCTTGCCCAGTTTTCAATTAGGTTGTCTCCTTCTTATTGTTTTGTATGAATCCATTATATATTAACGATACAAGCCCTTTGTCAGTTATATGTTTTCAAAGTACTCTCACTCAGAATACGGACTGCCTTTTCACTTTCTTGACGGTGTTTTTTGATGATAAAAAGTTCTTATTTTTGTATAGTATACTCTATACAATGGGCAGTCTTTAAAATGATTTTTTCTGGTGACATGTTTTAAAATTCTCCCTACTGCAAGCTCGCAAAGATATTCTCCTATGTTTTCCTCTAGAGATTTTTTTCTTTTGCCTTTCACATTAATCTACCTGGAACTGATGTATGGTGTGAGGTAGAAATCAACATTACTATTTTTCCTTAAAAAATCGAAAACCCATTGCCATCAAGTCAATTCTGATGGTCTCATAGTGAACCTATAGGATAGAGTAGAACTGCCCCATAGGGTTTCTAAGGCTGTAATCCTTACAGAAGCAGACTGCCACATCTTCCTCCCACAGATCGGGTGGTAGATTTGAACTGCTGAACTTCTGGTTAGCAGCCAAGCTCTTAACCACCAGGCAGTCTTAATTACTACAGCTTTAAAAGTTCTGATTATCTGGTAGAACAAATCTTCCTACCTTGTTCCTTTTCTTCAAGAATTTTTTGTTATTCTTGACTGTGCATTTTCACACAGATTTCAATTCAGCCTGTCAAATTACATACATAAATCCACTATCTATCAGGATTATGACTAAAATTGCAATAAGTGTATAGATAAATTTAGGGACAAGACACTGAATCTTACAATGAATGAGATATATTTTTCCATTTATTCAGGTCTTCTTTCCTCTCAATGAGTTATTGTTTTCTGTATGGAGATATCATACATCTTTAATTAAGCTTATCCCAGCTATTCTGTATTTCTGATACTGAAGATAATATATACTTTAAAAATTCATTTTGCTTTGTTGTTAGTATTCTGAAATATAATAGTTTTGTATCCTGCAGTATCTGGCTAAACTCACTTACTGATTCAAATGTTTTTTCTGTAGGTTGTACTAGCTAAGACTTCCTATTCAAGGTTGAATAGAAGCAGGCATTCAGATTTTGTTCTCTGTCCCAAAGGGAAAGCGTTTAAATGTTTTACAATACCAATAAGTATGTTTGTTGTAGGTTTTTTCTTTTTGGGTCAAATTAAAGGCAATCCCTTCTATTCTTACTTTGCTTTGAGTTCTTTTTTTTAATATGAATGGATGTTAGATTTTATCAAACCCATTTTATGCATTAATTGAGAGGATCACATTTTTTTTCTCCTTTTCTCTTATTAATGTGGTAAACTGATTTTGTAAAGTTAAACAAATCTTGTATTAGTTAACTATAACAACCTTTAGCTTGATATATTATTGTAGTTTTTTGGTTGTTTTTTGGGCTGGAATTAGTTTGCTAATAATTTGTTTAGAATTTTTGTATCTTACACATCTTTTGATTCTTATAACTAAGAGTGGTCTGTAATTTTCCATCCTCAACATGTCCTCCCTGTATTTGTTATCAACAATGTGCTGCCTTCAAAATAAATTGGGGAGTGTTTTTTTCTTTGCTATTTTCTGAAAGAGGTTGTGTAAAACTAAGTGTTTTTTGTTGTTGTTGTTAAAAGTTTGCTAGGATATGTCAGTGAAGCTATCCAAGCCAGGAGTTTTCTCTGTGAGATTTTAAATTATAAGTTCAGTTTCATTAAGAATTACAGAACTATTAAGATTTTCTATTCCTTCTGTCAGTTTAATAAATTCTGTTTTTTTTAAAGAATTTTTCTATTTCATGTAGGCTGTCAAATTTATTGGCATAAAGTTGTTAATAATATATTCATCTTTTTAATATCTGCAGGATAGGTAGTGATGTCTCCTTTTTCATTTTATGTTGATTGTTATTTAAGTCTTCAAATAACAAACTTTTAGTTTCATTGATCCTTCCTGTAACTACTTTCTATTTCATTAACTTAGTGCTTTTAAAAAGTTTATTTTTTCCTTATACATTCTTTGAGTTTAATTTGCTGCTCTTTTTCTACTTCTTGATATGTATGCTTAGCTTACTGATTTTCAGCCTTTCCTTCATTCTAAAATATGCATTTAAGAAGCTGAACACTACAAGTTTTGATATGTAGCATTTTCTTCATCATTTAATTTAAAAAAAAAAAAAAAAATTCAAATTTCCAGTGTAACTTCTTCCTTAACCCAAGGGTTATATAGGTTTGAATCTATTTCTCTATTGCATTTCATGGGTCTATTTTTTTGTCATTAAGCCAACATCCCATTGTCTTGATTATTCTAGCTTTGAAAAAGTCTTGAAATTGGGTAGCATAAGCCCTTCCACTTTGTTCATCTGTTTCAAGGTTGTCAATTTTTATCATTTCTAGTTCTGCTGTGCCATTTTTTAAATCATGTGTTGTTCTCTGACAAATTTTTAATCTCCTGAACAAAGTGAGCAAAGTTATTTTAAAGTAAAAACATTTCATTATGTGGAGCCCTAGTGAGCCCATTTCTAGTGTGTGTGTTTTTGTGTGTGGCTCTTTTTAATATAACTCCATCTCCTCATATGCTTATTTACTTACTGATTTTGTGCAGGACGTTCTATTTAAAGACTTGTTTGTAGAAGTAATGTAGGGTAATATCTTTTTCTAAATACCATTTTCTATTATATGCACTGCTGAAGGAGGCACACAAGTAGCATTTTTATTTACTTTTGCCAGGCACCTTTGAGCACTTGCAATCTGAAATTACCGCATTCCAATTTCAGGGATTGATATTTTCTAAGCAACCTATACGATCTGAGCTGGAAGCATTCCTGTGAGGACTTGCAGTTTACCCTTCCTCTTGGACAGGCCTTCAGATTTCAAACTCAAGTGTGAGGAAGTTATCCAGGCCTCCAATGTTGGCAGGCCCTGGTCTCCAATTTTTCACCCTGTTGTGGATTATGTCCCTCAAAAATATGTGTTGTAAATCCTAACCTCTATGCCTGTGGTTATAATCCCATTTGGGAATGGGTTGTCTTTGTTATGCTAATAAGGCAGGATTAGTGTAGGCTGTATCTTGAGTCAATCTCTTTCGAGATATAAAAGAGATTAAACAAGCGAGCAGAGCAAAGATGGGGGAAGAGAGATGCCAAGCCACATGAAGATCGCCAAGAGGCAGAAGTTGAAAGAGACAAGGACCTTTCTCCAGAGCCAAAAGAGAAAGAAAGCATTTGCCTAGAATCAGCATGCTAAATTCAGACTTCTAGCCTTCGAAACTGTGAGAAAATAAATGTTTGTTAAAGCCACCCCAGTGTGGTATTTCTGTTACAGTAGCACTAGGTGACTAAGACCATCCTCCTCCCCTGGTCTCCAATTTTTATTCTTCTTCCCACAAAAGAGTGTCAAAAGAATGGGCAAACGCCTTCAGAGTAAAAGCAGACCCAAATGTTGAGTTCACCTCTTTGGAGCTCTATTTCACAATTCTTCACTACCTTGTTACTTCTCTAATGCCTTTCAGCAGATTTATTTAATATGTGTCCAGTTTCGTAGTTGTCATCTATGGACTAGCACATAGGTCCAAATTACCTGGCCCACCATTTCTAACCACCAAGCATAGAAATTTTACTCAGTTTATGTAAGAATTTTCAAGCCCTTAATGAAAATGATGTAGGATTAACTGTTAAAGGTAGGTAATCTAATCACAGTCAAAAGAGTATATAGCCAGGAAAAAGTATGAAAAAATAATAACAGAGCAAACACAAAAGCTAAAGTATTTTTTAAAGCTTAGTGCTATTTAGATTAGAAGACAGTCCTTTATATCTCTAAGAAAACACTGACATTATCATTACATTATAGCACAGTAAAACATTAATAATACTTTGATTTAGTATAGCACTTTCATATTTACAAAATTCTTCCACCTTTAACTGCTCTCTAAGACGTGGAGAGCAGAATTATTATCCCATCATAAACTGTAACCTGAAATTACATTCTGCATATTCTATATAAGAGAGTATGAAATTGCCTAATACATGTTTAGAAGATTTATACTCCAAATCCTTAAAGCACTTTTAAGTTATGGTGCTTAATACTTAAAAAATTATTTTAAGTAACATATTTATAGACAATATAGAAGACATGCTAATAAGTGTTGCCATAATAAGTACTGATTTTCAAAATTTCTCATTTATGGGAGATTTTAATAGATAGGATAATGTATAGTACAATACCAACGGGACTCTTCTTTAATAGGTGTTCTCCATTTTAAACTTTTTATTCTAAAACTAGGATTCACCTAGGCTTTCGTAAGTACAAGGAACATGAAGAAATACACTAAATGTTACATCATTATCATGATGATGTCTTCTGTTTAATTTTATACAACCACTGGGAATGTGGTAAGATAGTATTAAAAATAAAAAATGTAGAGTTTATCATCTAAATAGATAAGGCTGATATATGTAACAGTTCCATCAGTTTAGTAGAAAAAAACCAAATGCTATATTTTTCTCTTTGGTTGCTATAAGTGCATATTCTAAGAACGTTTATTGTCATGGACTGAACTGTGTTCCCCAAAAATATCTGTCAGCTTGGCTAGGTCATGATTCCCAGTATTGTATGATTGTGTTCCATTCTGTAAATCTGATGTGATTTCCTTATGTGTTGTAAACTCTATCACTATGATGAGGTTATACTGATAAGGTTTACAAGATTAGGTAGTGTCTTAATCCAATCTCTTTTGAGATATAAAAGAGAGAAGCGAGCAGAGACACATAGGAACCTCATACCACCAAGAAAGCAGTGCCGGGAGCAAAGTGCATCCTTTGGACCTGAGGTTCCTGTGCAGAGAGGCTCCCAGACCAAGGGAAGACTGATGACAAGGACCTTCCTCCGGAGCTGACAGTGAAAGCCTTCCCCTGGAGCTGATGCCCTGAATTTGGACTTGTAGCCTACTGGACTGTGAGAGAATAAACTTATCTTTGTTAAAGCCATCCGCTTGTGGTACTTCTCTTGGAGCAGCACTAGATGACTAAGACATTTATATTAAAGTTTTTAAGCTCCCTTCAGCAACTAAGAATAAGCTATTTAAGTTGTCAATACTGAAATATCAGAATATCCAAAACAGTTGAATTAGCTTAATGATTGAGTTACATTGTTACATGTCTTCACTTACTTCTAAGATGTATGTGATGTATGTGACAAATGAGAAACATCTTATCAATGAAGCTTTTATCTTACCCCTATATAAAAAGCAGAGAAGTATATAACACAGTCCATAAAGACAATGCTCTACATCCTACTTTGGTGAGTAGTGACTGGGGTCTTAAAAGCTTGTGAGCAGCCATCTAAGATATAACTATTGGTCTCTTCCCATCTGGAGCAAAGACAAGTGAAGAAAAACAAAGACCCACGGAAACAATTAGTCCAAAGGACTAATAGACCACATGAACCACAGCCCTCACTAGCCTGAGACCAGAAGAACTAGATGGTGCCCAGCTACCACTACCCACCATGCTGACTGGGATCACAACAGAAGGTCCTAGACAGAGTGGGAGAAAAATGTAGAACTAAATTCAAATTCATAAAAAAGACCAGACTTACTGGTGGGATAGAGGCTAGCGAAAACCCCAAGACTATGGCCCTTAGACACCCTTCAAACTTGAAACTGAAGCCACTCCTGGAGATCACTTTTCAGTCAAACAATAGATAGGCCTACAAAGTGAACAATAACACCTGTGAGGAATGTACTCCCCAGAACAGTCAACCATACGAGACCAAAAGGGCAGTATTTGCCCAAATGCAAAGTTCAGAAGGCAGGAAGGGCCAGGAAAACTGGGCGAATGAAAATGGGCACACGAGGGAAGAAGTGGGGAGAGTGCTGACATACTGAGGATCGGATAGCAACCAATGTCACAAAACAAGCTGTGTATAAATTGTTGAATGGGAAAATAATTTGCTCTCTAAACTATTACCTAAACCACAATATTTAAAAAAAAAAGAAGTGTTACCAGCATACACCAAAATGACATCTTATTAATGTTTAATATAGCAACACACTATATACTTAGTATACAATATTGTGAAATAAGGAGCCCTGGTGGTGCAGTGGTTAAGAGCTACAGCTGCAAACCAAAAGGTCAGCAGTTCGAATCCACCAGCTGCTCCTTGGAAACTCTATGGGTGGTTCTACTCTGTCCTATGGGGTTGCTATGAGTTGGAAGTGACTCGACGGCAATGGGTTTTATTGTCAAATAGACTGAAAGACTGAAAACAAGTAAACAAAAAAACCCTGATGTTTGCTATCAATTCAAAATTGGGAAGGGAAAATTTAAGAGAAGAAAATGAGTTATAATAGGGATTAATCTAAAAAAATAAAAATACCGAATAAAACTTTAAATTGGAATTTAAAAGGACAAACCAAAGGCTGAATAGTATGGATGCACAAGAAATTTATAAGATACACAGAGAAAATACGTATCAGATTAGTATTTACAGGTTGTTGAAAAACAATTACTGCTTAAAGTATCTTCTTTTCAGAATAAAATTTAAACTGAGAACAACTTACCCGAGGTCTGTCATGCCATCTACAAATTCCTTTTTGCTAAATTCACATTGAGTAGCTGCCCTGAACTTCCATGCTATGACCAAAACGCTGATACTGGCAGGATCTAGGTTTAAATCATCACAAAACTGCTGAATTCCATCAATTCCAATTTTATTTTCATCTTGTGGGTCTACAGTTAAAGTTAAGGAGAAAAAAAGTTGTATGATTTTGAAAGGTACTGCTAAAATGGATGATTAGAATCTACCATATAGTTATAGCAAGAGTGTTTCAAATACATCAGTCAATGAACTGCAATTTTTTACTGTATATAAAAGAAATAGTGAGCAATAAATAACAACGTATCCAGGAAAACAGTGTCATTTTTTAAATTTAGGTTTCTGGGTTTTCAGGGGAAAAAAAAAATCATTGAAACTGCTTTGAGAAGATTTCATTATTAAGAAACAATTTACCTTCCCTAAAGCAAAATAAGGAAACCTTGGTGGCGTAGTGGTTAAGAGCTACCGCTGCTAATCAAAAGATCAGCAGTTCAAATCCACCAGGTGCTCCTTGGAAACCCTACGAGGGCAGTTCTACTCTGTCCTATAGGGTCGCTATGAGCTGGAATTGACTCGATGGCAATGCGCTTTTGGTAAAGCAAAAAAAAAATTCTAGTTTATAGAAATTTACTCTGCCCAAAGGCAAACTGCTAGGAATGATACTGTATTGGTATTTATAATATTTTAAGTTTTTATCACAACCCTGCCAAAGCAAAGAATTCTATGCTCCTAATGTTACAGATTTTCAGAACTGTAGAAAAATTGGTCTACAATGTTCTCACTGGTAATTATTATAGAAAAATTGGTCTACAATGTTCTCACTGGTAATTATTTTAAAGTAATTTTGGAAGTATTCATTTACATACGTTAACATAATAATAACTGGTTATATTTATCAAGTCTTTGAACTCTATTTTTAGAGTCTAAGATAATTGTAATCGTATCTACTTAAAATTACTAGAATTACATAAAATTAAGTGATTAATTTAATTTAAATCAAAGCATAAACCAAACCAAAAACCAAACCCATTGCTGTCAAGTCGATTCCGACTCACAGCAACCCTATAGGACAGGGTAGAACTGCACCATGCGGTTTCCAGTGAGCGGCTGGTGGACTCAAACTGCCGACCTTTTGGTTAGCAGCCGAACTCTTAACCACTGCACCACCAGGGCTCCAAATTAAAGCATAAGTACTTATAATTTTCACTTATATAAAAATATTTTTTTCAAATGCTTCTGCACATATTTGAATAGCCTAAAAAAAAAAAATCTGCATAGTATAAAATCAAAAACCCACTGCTGCAGAGTCAATTCTCAGTCATAGAGACCCTATAGGGCAGAGAAGAACTGTCCCGTAGGGTTTCCAAGTCTGTAATCTTTACAGAAGCAGACTGCCACATCTTTCTCTTGCAGAACGGCTAGTGGGTGTGAACCATCGACCTTCTGGTTAGCAGTCGAGCACTTAACCACTGTACCACCAGGGCTCCTTCTGCATAGTATATGACTTGGAAAACTAACTTAGCCAAAAATTTTTAAAGTACATTAAAGCTTAATTAAAATATTTTTTGAGAACTATAGTAAGTACATATCTGTGATTTTTACAATAGAATATGTTTCTTAACCACGACTCTTTAAAAACAAGTAATTTTCAATTCATTTTCAGATCTAAACAGACAGATTAAAATACAGTCTTACTGTGTATATTCTCAAGATCAAAATAAAATAAATTATAAAAAAAATACAAAATACACACGGTATTTTCAAAATTAAAAAACAAAAATAAATAAGAATTTATAACTAAGGAAGTTATTTTATTGGGGTTAATACTTGTTTACATGAGGTTTTATGTTTTAAAGTTTTGGAAATAATAAGATTAACTTTTAAAACGGCTAGAAAGAAAAAAGCAAAATAAGTCAGCACTTGAATTGTTGCTGCCTCTCCTGAGAGAGTACAGATTTAACACCTGATATGAAATTTTAAAACTTGCTAAGTCTCTGAATGTGTATATATTCATCAATGCAGACTTACTTTTACAGCACAATTGTATTTTGATAGGAAAAGTTTCATTCTAAATGCTAATTCCAATTTAAAAAAAACCTGTCTCCAATCTCCCACACAAAGGTTTCTTTGCTAAGAGCTTTCCCCAGAGCTTTAAACAACTGTAATTAAGTGCTAAAACACGACTAGACTATTTTAAGAAGGCTGATGTTTTACCTCACTTCAGAGTTATTTTCAAGACTACATATTGTTCTTTTTGTTACTGAGAATATACACAGCAGGACATACACCAATTTAACAATCTCTACATGTACAATTTACTGACAATAATTACATTCTTCAAGTTGTGCAACAACTCTCACCCTCCTTTTCTGAACTGTTCCTCCCTCGATGACATAAACTCACTGCCCCCTGAAGCTTCCTATCTAATCTTTCAAGTTGCTGCTATCAGTTTGATCTCATAGGCAGTTCTTAAAAGACCACAATGCTCAAGGCAGATATTCTTTACTAGTTAAGCTAAACTATTATTTGGTTTTAAGAAGACTTCAGGGGATGTTTCTGGTTTAAGGTTTAAAAATTACCTCAGGGTAATAGTTTCATAACTATAATAGTTTTGTAATAGGTTCACCCAGCCTCCATGGCTCCAGAAAGTCTGGATTCCATGAGAATTTGAAATTCTGTTCTGTATTTTCTACATTTTGATCAGATTTGATCTCTGATCAAAACGTTCAGTAATGGTAGCTGGGCACCATCCAGATTCTTCTGTTCTCGTTTTATATTGTTCTTAAGCAACTTTCTCACTCACAAATATTTCCACCTAAACAGAAGTGCTTGAAAAAACATACTGTATTAAGAGATATAAGCACCCAGCCATGGCAGTAAACCCCAGTGCAGTCAATGTTTCCTTCCAATTAGGGATCAACATATCAAACGCATTGCACAGGACAAGCTGAGGGAGAGTTTGCTCCAACATAAATCTTTAGACTCCTCTCTCCTCATTTCACCCCTAATCTATACTGATTAATTATCATAGTTTCGCTTAAGTTGAAGAAATTGGGTTTTGCAGATGAATATCAGGAAGAGATAGAATAGCACCTTGGAGACTTTTTTGTACAAGGCATCAGAAATTCTAGAAATGTAACAACCATTCTGTTATCTAGACATGTTTTTTAATGTTTACAACTTTTAAAATATTTGTTTTGTTTTAATTATTAACATACTTACCTTTGTACCTGTTATACAGTTGTTCTAGTTTCTTCTTGTCTACTGAATTTCTCATGGATTCTTTGTAGAACGAGTCTGGGTTTTGGAAGAAGTTGTCTGTTGCCACTTCTAGTTTCCACTCATTCTGCGTTAAACAGTATATAGCAGTTCTTTCGCCAGCCTGCGTAAATGCCATAAACTGGCGGACCTTGTCCCTCTGAGACGATTTAAGCTTATGCTTTGGGATGCAAAAGAAGCAGGAAAGCCAATGAAGCTAATCCAGAGGTTTGTTTCAGCATTCTATTACTAATGCCTATCTTTAAACTGGATTTAGTTTTCTTGTTGGGTGACTCAACTTCACTTCAGAATTACAGGAAGACAAAGCCTTGTTCTTCATCAGTTAAAAAGACTGCACAGTCTTCTGAAAATTGAAACGACAGCATCTATATAGTAACAAATATGCAAAGTCTAATCTTTAAAAAGTTACGAGAATATTTTATACAAAATACATTTTGATTTCTACCCATTTTATTTTGCATGAAGTATAACAGTACTTTTTTCCAAAAAATCTCAGCAAAATATGTCTCTTCATGAAACACATCCAGCCATCTGATGAAATAAAGAAGGGTAGATGTAACACAAATCCTTAATAATATCATTGTAGGTCTGTCTGCAGAGTCCTCAAAAGAGGTACTTCCATTAAGTAATTTCAGGCTCTAATGATTATGAGGAAAAAGCTTTATAGTTTAGATATATTACTGTTTTAAATTTTTCCCAGTTTAAAATCAACCCGTGCCGTTGTCCTCAGCAGAACTACATAGATGAAAACATGCACACATAACTCAAAATAATGGTAAAAATTCACAGAAGATCCAAAAGCAGGCACAAAAAGAATGCCTGTTATGACTAAATGAAAAAATACTAATAACAAAAATGTCTGTGTATATGAGACATAAATAAAATGAAAAAAATATGGCAGAGGCTCTGGGTAGGTAGTAAATAACAGAACTGCCAAGTAACTGTACTATATATATATAGTATATAAAGAAACAAAATAACATTTTAATATTTCCAGATAAGGATGGTCAACTTTCTACTTACTAAGGCAACTTGATGAAAGTACCACCAGAAAAGAAAGGGATTCACTAATTTCTGTAAATCAAAACAGACTCTATAATCTACTAGATGCTAATATTTTATACAAATGCTTTACACAATAATACAATAAAGGGAAAATTTTTACTGCAAAGAATTTACACTCAACCTTGTTCAAAAAATGCTCTGAGACAATTTATAAAAACACATAGAATAATGTAAAACATAACTTACAGAAATATATAAATGGATAACAAGATGTAGATGAAGAAATTGAGGAGGGGAGGGAAACAAAATGAAAGTAAGAAAGCCAGGGGAAGATTAGTGTACAGACATGCATACCTATACAAAGGCTGAAAGTGGGCTGAAAATTAGGCTCTGAGCTTCCTAGTTGCCAAAGCAAAGAAGAAAATATGATTAGTTAGGAAAATCTGTTTTAATAAGATTTAAAAACCTACCAGTGGCTCAGAAGTGGCACAGCTTCTCCTGGCACTGAAATCTGAAGGAAATGGCTCCTGTGGTTCCTCATGAAAGGGACAATGTGCAATGTTCCCCTTTGTACTGGACAAATTCCTCACCAAATGCCAATAATAAATAGCAGAGCGAACTTCCAAAACTTTTTCTTAAAGCATCCCTCAATGCATGCTGATGCCAAAATATCAGAGTACAATTCAACAAGAGAATAAAATAATGCAATTGAAACACACAATTCTCTCAATGTGTGGTCTGGAGACCACCGGGGGTCCCAAAACGTTTCAGGGGGGTCCACAACGAGAAAACGATTCTCATAATAATTCTAAGATGTTATTTGCCTTTCTCATTTTCATCCTCTGAGTGTACAGAAGAGGCTTCTAGAGGCTACGTGGCTTATGATATCACAACAGGTTGAATGTAGATTTGAGAATCTTTCATTAAGCCAGGCATTAAAGAGATTTGCAGAAAAAGTAATGTAATATAAATACGTAATGGGTTTACCGTTATTTTAAAATGTGTTAATATATATTTTAAAACTTTCCGTTTTAATTTCTAGTATGGTAGATACTGATGAATATAACCCACATAAACAAAAGCTCATTGGTGGTTCAGTGGTAGAATTCTCGCCGTCCCTGCAGGAGACCTGAGTTTGATTACTGGCCAATGCACCTCATGCGCAGCACCATCTGTCAGTGGCAGCCTGAGTGCTGCTATGATGCTGAACACGTTTCAGTGGAGCTTCCAGATTAAGACCAGAAGAAAGGCCTGGCAATCTACTTCCAAAAATCAGTCAATGAAAACCCCAGGCATTACAACTGGTTTATTCCCTTGCGCATGGAGTTGCCACAAGTCAGGGGCTGACCTGACGGCAGTGAACAACAACGACAACAAACAAAAGCTTTCTGGGCCCAGTAATTTTTAAAAATATAAAAGGGTCCTGAGACTAAAAGGTTTGAGAACTGCTGACCTAACTTAATATAGGGAATTAACATTTTTGACTAATGAGGACAATGATCGTCGAACATTTCTGAGCTTTGGATCCCTCTTGAATCTGACAGAGCCTCTCTCCAAGAAAACACATGTGATACACACATGTGCATGCAGGTTCATATAAAATTTCAGGGGCTTCACACATCATTGAAGCCCATCAATGGAGTCTTCCGATAGGGGCAAAAGGTAAAATAAAGTGGATCAGAAGAAAGTGGATCCCAAAAGAAAGAGGAATTGGCAAACATTTTCTTAAAGGCTCAGATAGTACATATATTAGGCTTGAAGGCCAAACAATCTGTATCGCAGATACTCAACTCTGCCATTGAAAAAGCATAAATGAATGGGTGGCTATGTTCCAATAAAACTTTATTTACAAAAACAGGCAGCCAGCTTGTGGGCTGTAGTTTGTCAACCTCTGATCTAGCTTCTAGAGTAATACATGGACTATATATCCTATATTTCCTGAAACTGAGCTTTTGACAAGAACTAGACAACCAGTTCAAGATTATATTCTCTGGCAAGATCAAATATTGCTAAATAAGGGCAGATCCTACATGCTTTGACAGTAAACTGAGCAAAAGATAAAGCTAGCATCTTTTTATGAAGTTGATAGCCACCCTAAAGGCAAGGGGGTGTCAAAGCCAAGAATTATCTCAAAAACCTTAAGAGAGAAACAGATGTGCAGTCCCCATAATGGTCTACTATTAGGGACAGCCATGACAATTTTACTACGGAAATAGCCATCAACGCTATTCTTTTTAAATTCTGTCACGGTTATAAAACAAAATTCAACAAAGCACCCTTAGAACTTTCCAGGATTAATCAGCAGAGCAATGTAACCTTAGGTAATGGAATTATTTAACCAGCATTACACAATTGATAGGAGCCTTGGTGGCACAGTGGTTAAGGCACTCGGCTGCTAAACAAAAGGTCAGCAGTTCGAATCCACCAGCGGCTCCACAGGAGAAAGATGTAGCAGTCTGCTTCCATAAAGATTTAAAGCCCTGGAAACCCTATGGGGAAGTTCTAGTCTGTCCTATAGGGTCACTATGAGTTGGAATCGACTTGACGGCAGTGGGTTTTTTAATTTTTTATACAACTGATGGATTCATGTCAATTAAACGTTGACAGATAGCTGGTAGATACAATGTTTGATCTTTGGCTATTTTTCCTGATAATCACCTCTTGAAGCTTATCCTAATATTGACAATTGAGTTATATCAACAGTGTAAAAGAGAATATTTTTTTCCCATACAAAAATTCATACATACATTGATGTGTGACTCTTAATTGCTCTCCCCATACTGTGACAGCACACTCCTCCTTTCCACCCCTGATTCCCCATGTCCATTCAACCAGCTAACCCTCTGCCTTCCCATCTCACCTCCAGACAGAAGCTGTCCGTTTAGTCTCCTGTATCTACTTGAGCTAAGAGGCACACTCCTCACGAGTATCACTTTATGTCCCACAGTCCAGTCCAGTCCAATCCCTGTCTGAAGAGTTGGCCTCGGAAATTGTTTTAGTTCTGGGCTGATAGAGAATCAGGGGCCATGCCTTCCAGTTTCAGTCAGACCACTAAGTCTGGTCTTCATACTAGAACTTGAGTTCTGCACCCCACCCTTCTCCTGCTCCATCCGGGACTCTCTGTTGCATTCCCTGTCAGGGCAGTCATTGGTGGTAGCTGGGCACCATCTAGTTCTTCTGGTCTCAGGCTGATGAAGTCTCTGGTTTATGTGGCCCTTTCTGCCTCTTGGACTAATACTTTCATTGTGTCTTTGGTATTCTTCATAGAAGAATACTTTCATAAAGCACTACAAAACATATGCAGGAGTATACGGATCCAGATCATTCAAAGAGGTTTGGAATGTTAATTACAAAGTGGGTAGAGAAACAAATAGATCCCTCTTTGATCTAATCAAATTGCCTGATCTGTCATAAGACACTCCTAGCAACCTTGAGCCTCATGTTGGTACCTAGGTACTGTTTCGGAATGCGCAACAGCAGCCATGGGGTCAAACAGTCCCTGGCCGAGATCAAAAGCCAGGAAACTACCAACAAAGTTGCAAAAAAAATTGTTACCCCTTACAGGTTTCTCCATAAGGTAACAGAGATTAAAACAATAAGTAATAGCTAAACCTAAAGACTATATGCTCTTCATGTCGGAAAGTGACTAAGGAGACCCAAGTTGCAATTCATAATAGAAGGAAGAGAAATATATTTTCTTAGAAAAAAGTTTCATAAACTGAAAAATTACTGAGGAAAGAAGACAGTTTCATGTCTACTTAGACGTGAAATCTACATCCATATAAATAAATGTACACAAATTGGCATAATTGAGCCTACTCATCAAGCTCTGATGGCTTTCACTGAGGTTTACCATGACATGGAAATTAAATTATTAAGGGGAGCTTTGAGAGGGGCTGGAGGCAGGGCATTTCTATGTTTCATTATTTTACTGTTAAAATGTAAAAAAATTCTTAAAATAAACATCTGGAGGGTCCAGCAGAAACATCAAATAAAATCCCTGAACTATGAAAAAGTTTCAAACATTTTAACTATAACCTTAGAAAAAATTACTTACATAATCTAGGCACCAAGACTGCCCGTATATAAAAAGAAAACAATCTATTCTTAAAGTGTCCTTCCAGAGACATTTAATACAATGAAATTTCTTGGGGTCAATTTACAAGCAGCTGACAGTGCAACCGTTTTGATCTAACTAATTACAAAAACTCGTTGATCACTTTACGACTCTTTGTTTTAGTATACAGTAGACTCAAGGGGAAAAGCTAAATTCAAACATTCCGTTTCACACTCTTGGGTCTCCATTATCTCTACAGATTCTGCAGCACGATAAACATGTTCAAGTCTTTCTCAAGTTAACAAAAAGTCTCTTAATGCTGTGTTCCCTTGAAGCTCTGTGCAACCCACTCCTTTCCTGTTAGTAGCCTAAGTCTTTACTTGCTGAAATAAGTATCTTAACTCACTGCAATCTGGCTTCAGCTTCTGCCTCAGTAGTGAAACTGTTCTACTGAGATCATCAAAAAAAAAGCCTTCTAGTTGCTAAAGTCGGAATCTTTTTAGCCTTTTTTTAATTCAGCACTACTGACCACTCCTTCCTCCTTTAAACTCTATCCTCTTGGTGTCTTTGACAACATTTTTTTAGTCTTCTTGTTTCTCTCTCCTTCTAAGTCTCCTTTTTGGCTCCTTTTCCCACCCCTGAAGTTCTGTCCTTATCTCTCCACTCATTTCTCTATACACATTCTTCCTGGTCTATCACGTCTCTCTTTCAATGGCTTCCCATTACTATTAGATCAAAGACTAAAACTTTCTTAATGTGTCCTGAAGGCCCTGTACGGTCTGGCTCTAGTTTCCTCACCAGTCTCATATTGTGTCACTTTCCCCTTGCTCTCTGTGCTTCAGCAACGGGGATCTTCTTTCAATTCCTGGAAGGTACCATCGCCTATCATCTAAGGGCCTTTGCACATTCTGTTCTTTCTGCCTGGAGTACTGCACACGTCTGGCTGCTCCTCCCACCTAGCTTTGTGTCTGGTTAATTCCCAGTTATTTTTGAGAGTTCAGGTCTCACCTTATGACCTTGGCCCAGCCTTCATTACCTCAGCATCTGACACCACTACTCACCCGGCCCCACCATACAACTTCATAGAACCTATACTCCTCCTTAGCACTTATTCCAACTGTAATAAAATAGTTACATCTTAATACCTATCTCCCCTGCTGGGACATCAGCTTCATGAGTTCCAGAACTACATTTGTCTTGTTCATCGTCAAATCCCCAGTATCTTGCAGACCACCTTCCTTGCACGTAGAAAACTCTGAATACGAATTTACTGAATAAATGATGAAACACATTGATTGACTACCACGGTTTCCAGTGCATTTCAAAGTAACTGATGCACATTTCCAGAAACCTTTCTTCTGAGCTCCAAATCTACATATCCAATAAACGATATAATCCTTCTATCTTTTTTACCTCACTGTATTATCTTCCCCCACAAATACGTTTTCCTCCTATATTCCCATTTTGGTCAATAATATCACTATCTACTCAGTTGCCCAAGCAAGGAGCTAACTTTATTCTCCATTTCCTTTATTCTCTTTCCCTTATACCATTTCCAAATAGTCTGCTGATTCTATCACCTTGATTTCTTAAAGTCTTCACCTCTCCCTCCTCTCGTCCCAATTCCTACAGACAGTGCTTTGGTTCAAGCCCTCATCTCTTCTTGCCTAGATTATTACAACAGCTTCTTTGCTGGTCTTCCTTGCCTGCAACCCCAACCACTCCAATCCAATTTCTGCCCTGATGACAGATGGCTTTTTAAAACAAAATACGGTCATCATCTCCCTTCTTAAAAATCTTCAATGGCTACCATTATCTCCTGGATAAAATTTACACTGATCTGCATGAAATGAATATATGGAAGGCACTACTTACATAGTCCTCACCATTCTCAACCCTGAATTTCATGCTCTAGCCATACTGAATTACTAGCAATTCCTCAAATATGCAATCTTCTCCACTTTATCTCTAGATGTTTCACTCTGTTGTACACAGGGTCGCTATGAGTTGGAAGCGACTCGACAGCATGTAACAAGGAGGCTGCCTCTGCCTGAAACATCCC